GACAGGTCGTCAAAGTCAATGTCGTCCGATGTGTTGGCGTTCGCTCCGAAAGAGGAGGCTGGGAAAGTGTCGGGAACAGACGGAAGTTCAGGAAGGGTAGAGTTGTCATAGAACTGAGCAGACGGGGCTGGGCCTGGAGAGAAAACACACATTTAGAAAGAAAAATCTCGTAATATAAAAAAAAAATCATATTAGGACAGCGCACATACCTGGGATGACCTGGGAAGAATTAGAGGGTTTGACAGACAACTCATCGATCTTAAAAAACACATGAAAACATGTTAACATTTCATACATATACGGCAACTACTGCAAATAATCTATAATGCTGTGCTGATACTGTGAAGGATTAGAATTATGAGACGTGCATTGTGAGTTAGAACAGACCACCGTAGTGAGTGAATGTACTTCATATTTGCACACCTGGGGTCTCATTTATAAAGGCGCGCACAGAACAATCCTAAATGTTAAAGTATAACAATTTCCACAATGTTCCTATAAAACTAAATTCTTAAACGTCCATACACACAAAGAAATTGAAACACTTGCTAAATGCATCACTTTATAAATTGCAGTTTACCTTAAATTCAAATGTAATATGAACAAGCAGATGATCGCAGCTGATCTACAGAACAGCCATAAATATCCCTATATCCTTGTTTTTTTGTTTTAGGAATTTATAGAATTCCAGGAAATTATATACAATTAATTAATTAATTGCAGTGACATAATTATCAAAAAACAGCTGCTAATTTTCACATATAATTTTAATGCATATTGTGATTGTCTGTGTATCTTTACATTTTCATGATCAATGTTGGATTATTTTAATTACTGATATATGGGTGTACAAAAAAATCTGTACACATGCTCTTCAATTGGCTAAGTATAAAAATGCTTTTTGCAGTTTTTGGCTTTTTTAAACTCAGAAATCCATGGAATTTAGGATTAAATCTGATCGTATTGTGCATTTTATAGATGAGGCCCCTGTTGTCAATAGGAAGGTTTCGTGTTGAGGATTTGTTGGGGTAAATGCTTCAAGGTGAATGTCACGAAAAGTAAAATCAAAAGAAAAAATATTGCATTTTTGTATAAAGACAATGAAACATTTTGTGTGATAATATTTTCCATGACAATTCATATTTTTGGTCTCATTTTTAATAATAATAACAATGTATTACTGATCCAAATGAAATGCTTCAGTTTCTTTATGCAAAATACTACTTTTTTTCTTTTCATTTTGCCAGACATGTTCTTTCTTGACAACTCATATGAGATTCACCTTTTTAATATATATTTGTGTGCACATTTTCACATATAACATGTCTACTTAAATACTTAAAAGCACTTCCCCAAAAAAGCCATACACTTGGTGAAAGAGAGATCAGGATGTAGTGTTTTCGATCCTTTGCAGCCCATGCAATGAAGCACATGCCTGTGGAGGCTCCCTGTGTGAGATCAGAAGACTGACAACAGAACAGGACTAACACAGCATGTGAACTGGAATAAACTACTCTTCCCTGCAAGGTGAACAGGTCGTCTCCGTCTGTCTGGAAGGGTGGGAGGAGTGGTGATCACTTGCACTTACAGATTCATAGGTGGGTGGGCAGCTGGGCAGCTGTGGGGGCTGCCCTCCTCTCACTGGAGGCTGGAAGTTGCTAAAGCCATCATAGGTGCCAACAGAACCATTAAAGGGCTCCTGTAGGGGAAACGTTATTTTAAATGAATCTCATCTCACAGCCAAACAATCAGACTTCTTAGATTGGTCAAGTAAAATGAGTTAGTCAGTGATTGGTCTTACAGCTCCTTTGGGCGGTGGGTAGTTGAAAGCTGTGGGCATGGGCATGGGCATTGGCATGGGCATAGGCATGCCTACAGCGGGAGCCATAAACCCTCCTCCACCTCCTCCACCACCTCCACCAGCTCCTGGCTTCTTGAAGTCGCTGTCCACATCAATCAGATGGGCCTCTTCACCTGGACACACCTCTGGCTGTGAATGATACAGATGAGGAAAGTTTGAGACAAATGCTGCTTGTTACAGTGACACATTGCTGCCACACACATTTTTTTCCACTCAATTATGTCGTAATAACGAGATATGTCGGTTTAACGACATCTTTTCTCGTTTTAAGAATAATAAGTAATAACGACATATGTCATAAAAACGATGTTTTCCCGTTATTATAGATATATGGTATATGTGAGCGAGCTAAGCGACTGTCCTCGCTGCTGTCGCCACAGTCTGACATAAACGAGGATCGGCACGCTGCTGAAATTATTGAAATACACTGTTTTAAATGTATTTTAATGTAATGGTTTTAATTGTAGCGGCATAATTATTAGGATTAATCTCCAATCTGTCTACAATATAGTGCTATCCAATAACTGCACTCAGACCCATGACTCGTTTAGGCTATGATCAGATCAAAACGGTTATTTTTGAATAATCGACTCTGGGCTTAATATTTCATTATTTGAATGACTGAAGTTTGATTTAACAACAAATCGAAATACGAACAAAAAAAAAAGAAATAGAGATTTTCTAATAGGCTAATAATAATTATTATTATTGATATTATTGCTTTTGCTTCATTGTTAGCCAAAAGATGAATACTGTTACATTGGAAATCCTCATGTAGAAAGGACTTAACGTCCTTTCTACATCTGGAAAAAATTAAATACTCCATTAGAGACTCTGTTAACTCATTTTATAAACTGTATCTTCATTAGATTAGATTAGACTAATTTGCAGAGCGGTACATGAGATGAACTCTTATTCTGTGTGATGGGACAGGCAGTAAAGACAGGCTGAGAGAAAAAGTGGCGCTTTTAGGGCCGCCCACGCACAAATAGCAAGCTCATTTTTTAACCCACGAACAAAATAAATACAAAAAATCTAGCATAATTTTCGTTCGCCCGTTTGCCAAACAGAACAAAATAATAATAATCTTTTTATTTCTTTTGTTTTGTTCGTATTTCGATTTGTTGTTAAATCAAACTTCAGTCATTCAAATAATGAAATATTAAGCCCAGAGTCGATTATTCAAAAATAACCGTTTTGATCTGATCATAGCCTAAACGAGTCATGGGTCTGAGTGCAGTTATTGGATAGCACTATATTGTAGACAGATTGGAGATTAATCCTAATAAACATGCCGCTTTAATTTTACAATTAAAACCATTACATTAAAATACATTTAAAACAGTGTATTTCAATAATTTCAGCAGCGTGCAGATCCTCGTTTTTGTCAGACTGTGGCGACCCCAGGTGTCCAAATATAAAATAATATGTGTGTGGCAGCAATGTGTCACCGTAGCTTGTAGAGATGAGAAAGTTGGGGGGGAAAAAAAAAGAAAAAAAAGGAGGAAATTGATTCCTACCCGAACCATGGCATCAGGTTCATAGGGAACGTTGTAGTTTTTGGCGATCTCAATGAGGTAACGCTCCACCAAAATCTTGGGAGGGGCCTCCACGCTCAGTTTGTGCATAAGCTACAGAAATAAGGTGCAATATGAATTTAAAAAGCAGATTTGTAGAACCTGCCAATGGGGGTAAGCAAAATAACCTTATTTCAAACAGAAAACAAGATTATTTTGCTTACCCCATTGGCAGATTATTTTACTTGTTTCAAGCAAAAACTCACTTAATTTTGACTTGTTTTTTCTGAAAACAAGACAATAATTTTTACTTGTCCAGAAAATCCTTCTTGATTTAAGAATTTTTTTGATATTTTGGCTGGAAACAAGACAAACAAATCTAAGCTAGAAAAGCATTTTTTGCAGTGTAAGGACTTCATTTGGACAACTTTAAAGGCGATTTTCTCAATATTTAGATTTTTTTTGCACCCTCAGATTCCAGATTTTCAAATAGCTTTATCTCGGCCAAATATTGTCCAATCATAACAAACCACACATCAATGGAAAGCTTATTTATTCAGCTTTCAAATGTATAAATCTCAAATCTATTGATGTGGATGTTAATATAGTTATCGTAATAGTTAGCTTTTTACTTATTGTTCTTGGTATGAAAGAGCCTTAAGACTAAGGAATTTTTCATCAACCAGGTAAAAGTCATATCTCTGACTGCTTAAACGGTAAGTTCACCCAAAAATGAAAATTCTGTCATTAATTACTCACCCTCATGTCGTTTCAAACCCGTAAGACCTTCGTTCATCTTCGGAACTCAAACTAAGATATTTTTGATGGAATCTGAGAGCTGTCTGACCCTGCATAGACAGCAACACAACTGAAATGTTCCCAAGTCCAGAAACGTAGCAAGGAGACCTGTAAAATAATCCATGTGACATCAGTGGTTCATCCGCAATTATACGAAGCTACGAGAATACTTTTCTCAATATTTAGATTTTTTTTGCACCCTCAGATTCCAGATTTTCAAATAGCTTTATCTCGGCCAAATATTGTCCAATCATAACAAACCACACATCAATGGAAAGCTTATTTATTCAGCTTTCAAATGTATAAATCTCAATTTCAAAAGAAAATGACCCTTATAACTGGTTTTGTGGTCCAGGCAGGGTCACATATATACACACACATATAATATATA